TATTTGTCCATTCAAGCGCAAGAAGACATGTAAAGAAATATGAGGCTTGCACGTAGTCTGAGACGCGGCGCTCTGTGTACACTGTGCACTAGGGTTGCACGATAAATCGAAATGGAATCGAGATCCGATTAATCGTGCAGCCCTACTGTGCACACAGAACACAGTGCGTGAGTACTAAATGTAGTAAAGTAGTTTAGTACAGTGCGTGAGTACTAAAGTGTCTTTCATGTCTTGAATTGCTTGAATGCTTTAAAAATTGCTTGAATGTTTAAATTGACAAGGTTTAAAAACATGTGCAAATGATACATTTCGTGATGATGCAGCAGTGGGCAATCGGACCAGTGACAAATCTGTGAGCTGTCCCAAACGTCTTTCACGCTGGCCACGGGCCATCTGGCAGCCATTATTGTCGAGCCCTGTGCTTTAGTTTTACATGTGATACCGCCATGGTCAGCTGATGGCAAGTATGTATTTCAGGAAGTTGACTGTTGGGATAAGAAGGATGAACTAATACAAATAAAATGCACCAACAAGCCAACACAATATTTTTCCTCAGCCACAATTAATCCAGTTATTGTTAAAAGAAGTGAGTCTTAAGTCAATGCCTGAAGATTGGGTGGGATTCTGCCAGTCTGTAGTGGAAGTTGGGTGTGGAAACGGCAAAATGCTTAGTCTTGTTGTCATTTTAAGGGTGTGACAAGTTACATGTGATATGGGTCTAAGGAGTTTGCCAGATGAGTAGATGATTGTCTGTTAATTGTCTTGTATGCCAAGACAAGTGTTTTGATTGACTTCATCTCAGCTTGCTGGATGTACATCTAGACTAAACCTCATATAAAAAGTTTTTTATGCACATAGTATGCAGTGTATTTCTGTATATAATATTTGTTATAATATTTGGCATCATTGTTATTAATTGTATCTATTTATATATAAGCAATTGTTTGCAATTATGTTTGAGTGTTTCGTTTTCATTTCTGGAAGACTGACGCAGCGTTTCTTTGGAAAAAAAAAATAAAAATCAATCCTGGAGTCGTGCTCTGAACCTCTCCCTTTAAGGGAATGTGTGCTGAAGCCTCTTTTCATTGGGGGGTCTGTAAATTGGAAATGAGTAAACGTTCTCCCACATACTCCCGCCCCCTGCCTCGCAACAGCTGTAAGATATTAGGCCTTATTTTCTCTTCCATTGAGAGACAGGAGGAACAGGCTCTTTGCCTCGCTATGATCAGGCTCGAGAGGACAATGGGGATCCATTAAATGAACGATCTGGAAAGATCTGCACCGTTCAAAAACAAGTGCAGAGGACTGGGTCGGAAAATCGAAGGTGTGATTCATGATATCTTTCCAAAACATACTGGAAAATACTGGAGCCCTATTTTGCAGAACAAAACCAATTTTCACTTTTTCAGTTTTCTCTCAAAATGACAAAGATGTTGGGCAATTTGCACATGATTTTCTTAAAGTTCATTCATCATTTAGTCATCCTCATGTTGTTCTAAATCTGTGTGGCTTTCTGTCTTCTGCAGAACACATAAGAAGTTATTTTGAAGACTGTGCTGGCTGCTCTTTTTTTTATGAAATTGCAGTGAATGGGGACTGGAGCTTTCAAGCTTCACAGAGGATGGAATATAGTGTACTTTTATGATGCGTATTCATTGTGTATTCTGAAGTCATTATGAAAGTTTGTGTGATAAACTGAAATCGAAGTCATTACTAATTCACTGAACTGTGTCATTGCTTTAGGCTACTTTTGTAGTTGCAGCCTTTCTAAAGTCTTGCTTATATTTAAAACGGGATAATATAATATACTATGTTATACTACGGGCCATTAAATGCTTGAATCTGATTGGCTGACGAACGTTCTAAGGTGTGCAATTATTTAAAGGGGTCATATGATGCTGCTAAAAAGAACATTATTTTGTGTATTTGGTGTAGCCAGGCTGGACTCCGCTTCGTCCACTGTGAAAGCCGATCCGGCGATCCACAGCACGAAGTTGAAGTATTTCCTCAGCGACCAGCACGGATCAGCTCCAGGCATGACGAAGCGATATCGTCCTCTTTTGGAAGGCCAAACAAAGTAGTTTCGCTTTCACAACGAAGCACACAGTGCCTTCACGACATGGCGGCGGCGGCGGCGGCAACAACACTACAGCGAGAATAAAAGTTACCTTCTTTCTTTGCGTGAACATTTGGGCGGCGTTATGCAAATCTTCCCACATCGTGACGTAGACATGTGGTGGCATATTAAAACGAGCCGTTTTAGGTAGGTGAGGCTGACTCTTAACTTTTATAAAGAATATCTCTTTGGATTTGAGACTTTAGTCTTTGCAACTTTACAGATCGTCTTTATGCACCAAGAGCTTGTAACACTCCAAAGAGAAAGGAAAAATTGAAATCGCATCATATGACCCCTTTAAAGGGAAACGCACGGCGAATTAGCAACGGAGGCATTGGATGAGATGCGTAATAAAATAATCCTACTCACAAGAGCATTTTAAATACAAACACCAGACGAATGCTTTGAAATATATCATCTGATCGATGGCTTGATGTGCGGTAACCGTAGTATAAGCTGAATAATTGACTCTGGGCCATTGAATTTTTAGAAAAATAATGTACACCCGCATCACCACCTCGGGTGTGCATTATTTTTCTAATAATTCAACAGCCCAGAGTCAGTTATTCCTTATATACTATAATATACTACGGTATATAATAATCCCACTATTCACAGTGTTCTTAAACAATTTGATTGATATCACAATATCCACCTTTTAATGGAAAGGTGGCATGAAAAATTGCAACAACTTATTGGAAAAATAAACCATTATTGTCTGTTTTATCTGTTTTGTTCTGAAGCAATCCTTTCCATCACACAACGTGCCCAGTTTCACATTTTAAATGTAGGATTTGCATTTACACTGAATTGGCTGTATTTCCACCTGCAGTGAGCTTTGACTGAATCATTGATGAGTGAGTTAAACGTGAGTCAAATCAACTGATTCTTTGTAAAAATCAGACTCAAAATGATTCATTCAAAACAGTCATATGGCGTTAGAAAATTATAGCACACAAGTCATATGGACTACTTTTATTGTACTTTTCTGGTGCGTGTGTGTGTTTTAAATTTGAAAACGTTAGTCTCCATTATAATTGCATGGAAAAGAACGACCAGCACAGTCTCCTGAGTTTCTCCATTTTGTGCTCCACACAATAAAGTCGTGGTTTTGAAAGTACATGAGGGTTAATAAATGATAACAGAATTTATGGCTGAGATTCAGTTTTCATGAATGTTGTGTCCTTTGTTGTGTTGTGACCTATTTGAGCGGTTTGTTTCTGGTGTGGTTTGCTTTGAAGCTGAATAGTGATATAATGAGGCTCCATTAATGCTCTTCAGATGTTCTTGTTTCTATGATAGAATCTAATAGCTCTGATCTCCAGGCACTATTAGTGTGCGATGCCCAGAATAATTAGCCTACCTTGTTGCCCTCTCATTACTTGCAATCTGTTTCTTTGAACCATATAAGTCTGAGATCATGCTTTCACTCTTCAGTTGGAATTTGTCTATAAAAATAAAGTGATAAAATAAGTGGAAGGTTTTCCTGTTGTGCAGATGGGCAGCTCTGGTATTATGTAGATACCGTCTTGAACACATGCAAGATTTTGCTGCCTTTTAAGGCACTGTTTTTCAGCAGCATATACAGTAGAGAGCAACACCCCAGCAGACAGACGGCAGGCTCTTCTATGAACTCATGGTGAAGCCTCAAGCCCAGCTGATGACAAGCTGTGCTTATATGCCTACTTCGTTGGCCCTTTAATACACTAGGAGCACATGTGAGCCAGATCCTTGTCATTACAGCCAATCAGAGCTTCAGCAACAGTCAGCATCATGTTAGTTTTGCCAGCATGCTGTTTCTGATAAACTAGCCTTGGGAAAGACATGGCCTGCGTCCCAATGTGCATACTATCCATCCTAAATTCTATGTGATAGTAGTAATTTTCAATACTATTTAGGGCAGATAGGGTGGATAGTACGCACATTGGGACACAGGGATGATCTTTGCTTTCAGCCTTTAACCCGATGGTGCATGTGCTGTTCAGCTGTTATTTTAGTGCCTTCTGCCCCCTGGTGGAAGTGAACAGGCATAGACTCCATTTCCTTCTGAAAACTTCCAAGACTGTTAAACCAGTATTTTTTTCCCCACTTTGCAAGAATAATAATAATAAATAAAAACATTGTATGATTTACAGATCATTTAGACGTTATGATCTTATTTTATCAATTTAGATTATAAATATCTAGTTTAAAATGTGCCAGCTGCAAAGTAATCATTTAATGTGTGTATTGTTTGCCATATGTATTGAAAAACATTTATGCAATTTTCAGAAAAATTTTAGATGTAATTTTTTTAAATTATGTTTTAACCATTTAAAAAAATATATAAAAAAAATATTTCTGACAAAAACTTACAATTATTTTTTTATGTAGTTAATTTTTTTTGTTTTTGTAATTGTAGTAGACTTGTTAGCAAATGTTTTTTTTAAAAACATTTTTCAATGTAAAAATAGCAAGTTTTTCATTTAAAACCTAATTTAATTTCCTAGGGTAATATAATTTCAAATCAGATCAGAACAGATCATTCACGCAAAAAGATTACTGACAATGACGCACAGTTGTGAGGGTACTCTTTGAGATATCATATCTTGTTTTGCCTTTTTAAATGTTAGTTATTATTTCTGGCAAAATTGATTTGGCTGACATAAGTTTTTCAAATGTTAGTAATATTTTAAAACTACTGCTTCACTGCATCTTATTCATATGCCAAAATATTTTCAGGAAATTTCAGCCTTTTATTTCCATCTCTTTTTTTTTTTTGTTATGATTTCAGTATGGCTACTCGTTTTTTGGCATTTTGTTCATTTAGTTCAACTCAGTCACAGTGAATCTATAAATTATAATGTAAATGTGTAATGTATTATTCTTTTTTATCTCTGCACAGACTGAGGGGTAGATGTATCACCCGGAGCGAGCGCAGTATGAAGAAAGCAGGCAGGCCAGTGGGGAATAAGGCAGCAAGTGGTGGAGGTAAATGTGACTCTGTGACAACTGGAACCTCTGCTGGCAAAAGCGCTGTTAAGAGCCCTACCACAGCTCCGCTCTCCAAGGTAACATCACCCTCTTGCACAGATTAACAACTTAAACTAATATTTAAGTCACGGTTATTGTATCTTTTTTGTTGATTTGTTAATCTTTGATTAACAGGTCAAAAGCAATGATGATCTTCTAGCTGCTATGGCTGGGAGCAGTGCAGGGACAAACAGCAGTGTTGCCAAGGGCAAGAAATCAACCTCTACTCACTCAACATCCTGCGGAACAAACACTAATAACCCTGACACAAAGACCAAGACCACCTCAGGTATTTAAATGTTTTGTTTAATTTAGCCAATAACCAAATAACTATTTAGGCATTGTTTAGACTACTGTTCTACTGTTTTGTTTATTTGTTCTCGTATTTGACATTATTTCTTCACAAGGCCCATCTGGCAAACGGACTTCATCCACGGCCTCCAAGGAGTCAAACTCCTCACGTGATCGTTTGCGAAACTCCAGAAACTCCAGCAGTAAGAAGCAGTCATCCACTGGTGCTTCTGATCGAGCCCAGCCCAGGCATTCCCGTGGACTGGCCCAAACCTCAGACTCAGAGAGCCGCATGTGCAAATCAAAGTCTGACGGACAGTTAAGTGATAAAGTGGCCCTGGAGGCCAAAGTGAAAAATCTGTTAGGTCTGGCCAAGAGCAAAGACGTGGAAATCCTGCAGCTACGGGGTGAGCTGAGGGACATGAGGGTTCAGCTGGGACTGCCTGAGGTTAGATCAACTTCACATTATAATATTGCTGCTTGATCATTTTGATATGTCCTGCTTAATTCTGTTTTTGGTTCTGACTATGAATGAACAAATGAACAAAACAAGACAAAAAATTGAATTACAACAGAATTCTTGAATTTCTTATCACATTAAATTCAGACTGCAGTCTCACAACCCAAGTAAAATATCATTTATTTTCATAATGTTCAGTGACACTGTAGATTCAGCAGCAAAAAAAATCACAAATTAAAAACGAATTCAGCCTATATTCAGTTCTAATGTAATTGAAAAAATAGTTTTTCATCTACATAAACTACCAAAACACATTGCACAATCAAAGTAAAAAAATTTGTTTTCGGTAATCCAATGCATGCTTTGTTTCCTATAGCAATTTCATAGATATAGTCACTTAGGGAAACCAGTTTCCTCTTCAGAGAAAAAAAAATAAAGGTATTTGTTCGCTAAAGTTTAAAATAAAGGATGCAAGTCCCACTCTGAGATAAAAAGTGTAAAGCCATATGAAATGTAAAGCCATAGTTACCTTTTTATTTTGTTAATTTTTTGTTACTCTCAGGTAGAAATGGGCTCCATAGTGACTCGAATAAAGGATATCTCTATGGTTTTTACAAAGACAGCATAATTTGGTCATCCATATAATCATACTTGGGGAAATTAGGGAAATAATGTGGTTAGTGAGTTTAAGTATTTATGTTGTGATACAAGCACCAGTGAATAGTGTTGGTGAATCTGTAATGTGGCATAACTGATAGCTTAGATGAAAACTACTACTTGAGATTAAAAGCCCTCACCATGATCTTATGTTACTCCTAGGAAGATGAGGAGGATGAGAGGCCACCTGAGAGGGAGGCGGCTGCAGTGATTACAGCTGCAGATGTGGAGTCAACGTTGCTGCTCCTGCAGGAGCAGAACCAGGCCATCCGTGGAGAGCTCAACCTGCTTAAGAATGAAAACCGTATGCTAAAGGACCGCCTCAATGCTCTTGGCTTTTCCCTGGAGCAAAGACTGGATGGGGCTGAGAAAACCTTTGGCTTTCCCTCCGCCAGTGCTGAACTTGCCTCCTCTGGAGGTGGTGGAGGTCATGGAGACTGTGCTACTGCGGCCTCCTCTGTGGAGGGATCCGCACCAGGCTCCATGGAGGACCTCCTTACGGGAGGCCAGCGAAGTGGCTCAACGGACAACCTGGACAGCGAGTCCAGTGAGGTCTACCAAGCGGTGACCTCCAGTGACGACGCTTTGGACGCTCCCTCAGGCTGCGGCTCCTCGTCATCCTCTGAGTCTGAAGGTGGCTCTCCGGCATGTCGCAATTCCTCTCGTAAGGGGAGCAGTGGAAACACCAGTGAGGTGTCAGTAGCGTGCCTTACAGAGCGCATCCACCAGATGGAGGAGAACCAACACAGCACGGCTGAGGAGCTCCAAGCGACTCTACAGGAACTGGCTGACCTGCAACAGATCACGCAGGAGCTAAATGGTGAAAATGAACGCCTGGGAGAGGAAAAGGTCCTGCTTATGGACTCCCTCTGCCAACAGAGTGACAAACTGGAGCACTGTGGCCGTCAGATCGAGTACTTCCGCTCACTTCTGGATGAGCACGGTGTGGCCTACTCGGTGGACGAAGACATCAAGAGTGGCCGATACCTGGAGCTGGAGCAACGCTACGTGGATCTCGCGGAAAATGCTCGCTTTGAGCGTGAGCAGCTGTTAGGTGTGCAGCAACATCTGAGCAATACTCTAAAGATGGCTGAGCAGGATAATGCTGAGGCTCAGAGTGTGATCACAGCACTGAAAGAACGCAACCATCACATGGAGCGACTTCTAGAGGTGGAAAGGCAAGAGCGGGCTGGCATGGCGGCAGTTCTGGAGGAGTGTAAAGCTGCGGTCAACAATGACCAGGCTGAGCTGAGCCGCTGTCGGGCGTTACTTGAGCAGGAGAGGCAAAAGGTTGCTGAGCTTTACTCCATCCACAATGCCGGAGATAAGAGCGACATCCACCAGCTCCTGGAGGGGGTTAGGTTGGACAAGGAAGAAGCTGAAGCCAAAGCCGCCAAACTACAGGACGATTTGGGCCATGCTCGCAATGAGGTGGCATGTCTGCAGGACACTCTCAACAAGGTGAGCTTAAGCACTGGTTCAGTTGCTTTAAGAACCATTAGGAGCCTGTTTGACAACTCCTTGTTTCCTCTTTTTGTGGTACAGCTGGATGCCGAGTACAGGGACTTCCAGAGCGAGGTGCAGAAAGAGTTAGCCGAGCAGAAGAGGGCTCTAGAGAAGCAACGAGAGGACCTGCAGGAGAAAGAGACTGAGATCGGAGACATGAAGGAGACCATCTTTGAGCTAGAGGATGAAGTGGAGCAGCACCGAGCTGTCAAACTTCACGACAACCTCATCATCAGCGACCTAGAGAGTGAGTTTGATTTGTGCATCCTGATTTTGATTTTCCACAATCTGCACAAATGTTTCATGCTTTTTTAATGATACACTTATAGGGATAATTCACCCAAAAATTAAAATTCTGTCATTAATTACTCACCCCCGTATCGTTCCAAACCTGTAAGAGCGCTGTTCATCTTCGGAACACAAATTAAGATATTTTTGGATGAAATCTGAGAGCTTTCTGACCCTGCATAGACCGCAACGCAACTGAAACTTTCAGGGCCCAGAAAGGTAGTAAGGACATCATTAAAACAGTCCATGTGACATCAGTGGTTCAACCTTAATTTTATGAAGCTACGAGAATACTTTTTGTGTGCAAAGAACACAAAAATAACTACTTTATTCAACACTTTCACCTTTTAATCCAGGGATGCCCAATCCTGTTTCTGAAGATCTGCTTTCCTGCGGAGTTCAGTAATACACGTTTGTAATTATCAAGTGTTTCTGAAGATGAAGATTAGCTTGTATTTAATTTGGTTGGAGCTAAACTTTGCAGGAAGGTAGTTCTCCAGAAACAGGATTGGGAACCCCTGAACTAAACAAATGTATCTTATGCTGAACTGTTGAATGTAGTCTTGCAGTATGAAAAGTGAAAACTGATCCACTTACACAGCAAGAGACTGTCTAAATCACACGTAAAGCAATCAACCAAATTATTTTGCTTTTACATGCTGAAATACTTCTACCTTTTTAAAGATGATTTTGTTTCCCTGCGGAGTGATTTAAAAACCTGTGCATCCTGCCTCCAGGAAGCTGCCTTGCAGTCAGGCAGTCTTTTGTGCAAGATGCATAGATGCATAAGATAATGTGAATCTAGTTGTGGGAGGTTTGGGTACATGCTATTTTCAACACTAGGAGAGCCTCTAGTAATTGGTGTGTCTTTCTCATATCACCACATGGTGGCGTCAGTAGTTTAAGAACATGGTTTACTTGTTGTGTTAGTAGTGTGAAGCAGCAGTGATAGAATAATGTTTTTTTAACATCACTTGACAGATCACAGATATCATTGGAGAGAAAATTAATTTTATTTACTTGTAAACTCTTATAATTTGTGGTGGCATTTAGAATGAGGTTAAAAATGCATTATGTTTTTATTACGTAATTAATGTTGCTAGTGCTACAGTGCATTTCTTTCATTATTCCCCCATGTGAACCCTGTATGCCCTCATTTCACATGCTCACTCGCTCTCTTTCCGGTTTCCTGGCAGATTCGATGAAAAAGCTTCAGGATCAGAAGCGTGACATGGAGAGAGAGATAAAGATACTGCACCGCAAACTCAGGGTGAGCGAGGGCAGGGGCAGCAGTGCATGCAGTCATCTAACCCGGCTTTCACAGATAGGCATCGTTTGAAAGGATGTCTTCAGATTTTAAGTATAATGCTAGGATAAAACCACCGCAAAAAACTTAATTTCTTATTAAAGGATTCACTTTGATTCACTTTGTCGACACCACTTTTTATGTTTATTAATTCATATTTGTCTTAACCCAGTAATGTCCAGATCTTTGTCCGTATGGTTGTCAAGTTGTTTTCCAGTTTTTAAAACATCTAGAATCATCCCAGTGATAGATAATTCAGTATGTTTACGTGCCTGTGGTCTTAAATGTGTTAATGCATGTCTTTAATTATTCGTACTAAATCTGCACCTCTGTGCTTGTGCATTTATGTATGTTCAGGAAGAGTCGGCAGAGTGGCGTCAGTTCCAGGCAGATCTGCAGACTGCTGTGGTCATTGCTAATGACATCAAGTCAGAAGCTCAAGAGGAGATCGGTGACCTACGCCGCCGCCTGCAAGAAGCCCAAGAAAAGAACGAGAAGCTGAGCAAAGAACTAGATGAAGTTAAAAACCGCAAGTAAGTGTTAAAAGCCAGTGCATAGTGTTTTGCTGCCAGCCTGTGAAATGCTCAGTGACAAGCGAAACTTGAACTGTTGTTTTTGGTGGTGAAGTCACTTGTTTTTAACTTCCTTTCTCAAACTCTGTTATAACAAAAATTATTAGTGCATTATCTTAGAAGACAGCATATTTTACATCTTACTGTTTGGTCTAGCCTTGGTGGCTTATTTTTACAGGAATTATCTGAGAGCACCTTTGTTTTAATTAAAGGGATAGTTCACCCAAAACTGAAAATTCTGTCATTAATTACTCATCCTCATGTCGTTCCAAACTTGTAAGACCATCTTCATCTTCGGAACACAAATTAAGATTTTTTTGACCCTCCCATAGACAGCAAGGATCCTAACACGATCAAGGTCCAGAAACGTAGTAAAGACATTGTTAAAATAATCCATGTGACATCCGTGGTTCAACCGTAATTTTACAAAGCTACAAGAATACTTTTTGTGCGCAAAGAAAACAAAAATAACGACTTTATTCAACAATTCGTCTCCTCCGCATCACCCTATAGTGCCATTTTGGAGAGTATCACATACGTAAATAATGAATGTACGCGGATACATTTTTTTACGAATTGTTGAATAAAGTTGTTATTTTTGTTTTCTTTGTGCACAAAAAGTATTCTCGTAGCTTCGTAAAATTACGGTTGAACCACTGATGTCACATTATTTTAGCGATTATTTTGACAATGTCCTTACTACGTTTCTGGACCTTGATCGTGTTAGGATCCGTGCTGTCTATGGGAGGATCAGAGAGCTCTCTGAATTTATCAAAAATATCTTAATTTGTGTTCCGAAGATGAACGAAGGCCTTACAAGTTTGGAACGACATGAGGATGAGCAATTAATGACAGAATTTTCATTTTTGGGCGAACTATCCCCTTTAATTATATTAATGTAGCGGATGAGAGTCACGTAATCATTTAAATTTAATAAAGAGTTTCCTGTCTATGATTAGACAGAGTATCCATGTTGAAAATGTGTGACTCTGTACTGTCTCAAAGGCAAGATGAGGAGCGTGGACGTGTATTTAACTACATGAACGCTGTTGAGAGGGACCTGGCTGCGCTGAGGCAGGGCATGGGACTGAGTCGACGCCCCTCTACATCCTCCGAGCCGTCACCCACCGTTAAAACCCTTATCAAAAGCTTTGACAGTGCTTCACAGGGTACCTCGCCATTTGCTGGTTTTATTTCCATTTCATGTGTATGGGGCATCTTTAGCAATCTAAAAAGGTTAATTTAATCTGTTTTTTTGGATGTTCTCAGGTCCTGGAGCTAATGCTACTGCAGTCGCTGCTGCAGCCGCAGCCGCCGCCGCTGCTGCAAGCACAACCACGAGCGCCCCCTTACCTCGCACACCTCTCAGTCCCAGCCCTATGAAGACCCCGCCTGCTGCTGCTGTCTCACCCATACAGGTATCTCAGAGTCACACAATAACACATAGCATTAGGGTTGGGTATCGTTTAAATTTTATGAATTCCGATTCTTTTCGATTCCCAGTTTCGATTCCAATGTGATTAAATAATGATATCAAACATTTATCCTGTGTCTCTTTTTTGCAAACCATTTAGTTGCAGCTGAATACCATGAACAAAAATCAACAGGACACATTCAAACTAGACTCTTTATTAAGAGCTGTTTGTGAGCAAAATAGAACTGCATGATTCTGGATAAATTGAGGGGGTTTTTTCTTTTTTTTCCCAATGAAAGTTGTGGTTCTCTCATGATTCTGAAGAAAAAACATTAGACAACTAAACAAAGTCACATGTAATTTATGAGTGAATGATTCAATAACTCACTCAAGATGTACTTGTTTCATTACTGGATGAATCCGCGTTATTGAAGGAATCTCTTGTATGATTCAAAGACAAATACATTTTAACACCCCCTTTTTGCCACCTACTGGCATAACAATGTAATCGATAAATCTTCATTTGAAGAGTCAAATTACTTTCAAAAGATTTACTCTATTTTAATCGCTCGAATGCCAACCCACCGAACGAATATTCGAATATTCTGGTCCAGCCCTAGTCCTCACATATGAAGGGAAAAAAAGCGCATAGGAATCGATAGGCAGAATCGAAATTTTTATTTGACAACAAGTATCCGATTCCTGACCTTAAGTGTCCAATTCTGGAATTGGAATCGATGTCCGATTCCCAACCCTACATAACATACTTCCACAGTGCTGCAGAGTGACTTATTTTCACTGTGAAGGTCAAACAGTAGCATTCTGGCTCTTTTCCTGCTTTTTGAACCTCGGAAGCCTCTGAGATAGCAGCACTTCCTCCTCCTGTGGGCCTCTTGACATTTCTCACAGCATATGCTCATTCATGAGAACTACAGAATTTCCATTGTGGGATGGTTTGGTTTCCTTTTACGTTTTATTTCTAGTGCAGTCATAACTTCTGATACTGTCTGGATGTGAAACTGAATTTTTGGTTTCCATTCATGCAAGATCCGGTCTTATATTCCTCAGTTCCAAACCAAAAATGTTGCATATCTAGCTCAACAAAAGAGCTGTTCTTGCACATTAGCCAGTAAGCTTAAAGGGATCGTTCACCCAAAAATGAAAATTCTGTCATTAATGACAGCAACGCAACTGTAATGTTCCCAGGTCCAGAAACGTAGTAAGGACATCGGTAAAACAGTCCATGTGACATCAGTGGCTCAACTTCAGTTTTGCGAAGCTACGAGAATACTTTTTGAGCACAAAGAAAACAAAAATAACAATTTATCCAACAATTCTTCTCCCCCGAGTTACGTCTTTCACCATTTTAGAGTATCACAACACATACGCTTTCCCCTAAGCATAAACAACGCTGATTACGCAGATTACGTTCATGTGCGCGCTTTCTCCCCCGAACGTAAACAACGCTGATTACGTCGATTACGCTCTTGGTTACTCTCCAAAATGGCGGAAGACGTAAGTCGGGGGAGAAGAACTGTGTGACCTGGGAATATTACAGTTGCGTTGCTGTCTATGCAGGGTCTGAGAGCTCTCACATTTCATCAAAAATATCTTCATTTGTGTTCTGAAGATGAACGAAGGTCTTACGGGTTAAGAACGACATGAGGGTGAGTAATTAATGACAGAATTTTCATTTTGGGGTGAACTAACCCTATAAACTTAGCTGAAGGCTAGCTGAAAATATAGGGAAATGTTCATTTTTCTAGCTCATCACAAGAGCTTTCTTAACTACTTAACCTCATGCCATGCTAGTAGGCTAAGCTGTGAGCTTGCAAACTGAAAAACGCAAAGAAGCGGAAATGTTTAAGTTGTTGTGACATTTTTTTTTTCTAGCTCGTCAAAAACAGTTATTGCTATGCCAAGCTAGTAAGCTAAGCTGTTAGCATGTTGACCAAAGACTAACTGAAGCTAGGAAAAGCTAAAGGGAAATGTTTAATTTTTTTGTGACTCTTTTTTTCTAGCTCATCAAAAGCTCAGCTAGTAGGCTAAGGTTAACTTGTTAACTGGGGACTAACTGAAAACATAAATAAGGGAAATATTTCATTTGCTGTTACAAATTTTTCTAGCTTTCTTAATTTAGTGCTATGCTAATCTAATAGGCTGAGATGTTAGCTTGCTAACTGAAGGGTAAATGAAAACACAAAGAAAGGTACATTTTTTGACCATTAGTAATATAATGTGATATGTAATTTAAAAGTAGGATTCTGATCTTCAGGTACTACAGCTCATATTGGAAATCATGCACAGTTTATTTATCAACAAGAATACCAACAATACCAACTTCATTTTTCACCTCAGTGTAACACATGATGGGTGCAAACGTTTTTTTAAATTGACTGCGTATATCAAAGTGACATCCTTAGAAATGTTCAGCACTGAGGATATATAAGAGTGTGATTGTCAGGGCATTACTGAAGTAAAGAGAGGGGAGGTAAGGACAGCAGACAAAGAGGAAATAGATCTAAAGTCATATCCTCCTGAGAGGCTAGCTGCAGTCTATAGCTGCTTTTGATTGATGTAGAAATCGAGTAGCATTCTAGGGGAAAAGAGCAATGGGATTTAACGGAAGCTGACCACAATCCAGCCATGAATGTGTAACCTGTTGAGGAGAAGTCATGAAGGGAAAGAGACCTTTTACAAGGATCAGGTGCTAAGTCTTATTACAGCTTCTTCTTAATTTTTCAAGTGCAGAAAAGCGCATGTGGAGCTCTTAAATGAAATGGAGATATGAATCTATCTCCGCAGTACAGTAGATTATATGAGATATTTATCTTCTTATGACTTTCTTTCATAATCCTGTCTCACCTGAAGTGACGCTGATGTCGTTATTCAGTCACAGTTATCTTTGTTTCAGATCAGACCAGTTGATGAAAAAATATGTAAGCTGATATATTAAGATGATTTAAATACTGTTTGTTAATCACCTACAGAGACACTCCATCACTGGCTCTATGGCTGCTGCGAAGCCCCTCTCCTCCCTTACAGACAAAAGACCCAGTTACACAGACATCAGTATGCCAGGTAATAAACACCACAACATTTCTACTTAAGTCTTTCAAATGATCGCTATTTGTAGTTCTATCAGTTTTTTTCAATACACTGATTGTTTTGTTGCATTTTTTATTTATTGATTTGATTTAATGATTCAGGTCATACCAGCTTTTCCTTTCAGAAAATGCCTGTCAGGTTGCTGTAACATCTAATTTAAAATACATTTTTGATGAAAGGGTTAATCAGGATATTTTTTGTTTGTTTCTAATATGTTTTATAAAAACGTATAAGCAGTATAGATATAAGAGTTGTAGTAATAACTTACAGACCATTTATTTGGATGTAAGTCTTGTTGAATAAATTATAATAATTACACATCTAATAATTATATATAATTAATAAGTTATGCCTAGGACCAACCTTCCAATATTTCATATCTGTCATGCTATTATTAAAAACTTGATCAGTCAAGGAAGTTGTAAAATTGGGATTTCCAGTCCAGGAAAAGTGATGGAAATTGATCAAATCTTAATGTCATTTCAAAGTTTGTGGGATATCATGTAAAAATAATCTTTATTTATAATTTTAAAAAATTCTATTTATACTCGGCTCTTAAATATTTCATCCATTCAAAATGATTCTTTGTGAGTGCAATGTCTATAAAATTATATATAAAATAATATGTTCTATGTCTATAAAATTTTCACAACAAACTGGAAATGTGTTAGTCAAAAGGTGTGGCGCTCTTGTTGTGCCACTCCACCCTGACCTGGTATATGAACAAATGACTGCTTTTTAGTTCTTTTTTTTTTATAACCCGTTGCAAAAACAAAAACGCATAATGTGAATCATAGCACTCAGATTTTCCAGAAGTTTCAATGGGGTGGACGTTGTGGGATTTGGATCTAGGAGGTAGTTTCTTAGTAAAAGACAGCTGCTTTCCCGACACCAGAAGTTTATGACCCCCGCAAAAGCAACACTGAACTCATGGTGACCTCAGATGTGATAACTCATGCGAAAATACACCAAGTATGAACAAATACTCTGGTTTCAGTGCCCCCTCCCCACTCATTTTCACCATTATTATGCTGGAAATTTAGGCATTGCGTGTTTGTGAACGTGTGAGAGAGGGCATAGAGCCCTCTTGTCATGCTTGTTTTTACGTTCGGCTGCTTATTGGAAACTCTTATCAACCTTTGTGGAAATTACAGTGTTTTGATTGGCGGAATGGCTTTCTTGCGGGGGTGATCGTTTGCCCTGTCTAACCCTTGACTGCTATTGAGACTCACTGGCTGTCAACATTAGTCTTTCCCCCCCCATAATGTTCCTTTCATTTTTATAGATTGATTTCTTTGATTATAAATGTAATAGCATTTGATTGTCATTGATTTAATGTGCAATAACATTTTATTGTCAATTTGTCAAGTTAGCATTGTGTGTTTGTAGACTGCAACATTCATTTTTTTCTTTCTTTGTGTTCTTTCCTATTACTGCCGGAATCCTATTTAGCTCCCAGATGAACTGATAACAGATATTGAAATCCTGATTATGATATTATATCTCTCTCTTTCTCTTTCTCTGTCTGCAGCTGAGCATCTACTAAGAGCAGCCAACGGCAGTCGTCCCGCTTCAGCTCTTCAGAGAGTCTCAAGCATGGACACATCAAAGACTATCACAGGTGAAGCTTAGACCTATTTAAAATCGAACTAATATAGATGCTATGCTTATTATAAACACTCAACTAATGCACTCATATAGTCAGTGCTGTAATGTTTTATTCATACATACTTTTTTTTTTTGAAAGACGTTAACTTTTATCCAGCAAGAATGCATGAAGTGGATCAAAAGTGAAAGTAAACACATTTATAATGTCACAAAAGATGACAAAAATATTAAGCAGCACAGCTGTTTTAAAAATAATAATAATATGATCATAATAGGAAATGTTTCTTGAGCAGCAAATCATCATATTAGACTGATTTCTGAAGGATCATGTGACACTGAAGACTGGAATAATAATGCTGAAAATACAGCTTTGCCATCATAGGAATAAAATACATTTTAAATTGTAATAATATTTCACAGTATTACAGATTTTACTGTATTTTTGATCAAATAAATGAAAACTTTGAAAAACATTACAGACTCCAAACTTTTGGGACAGTTGTGTACATTCGGTGCAAACATTTGCTCTGACAACAATCCAGTTACATTACATTTTTTTTAATAAATGGTGAAATGCAGCATAAAATCTGAAATTTGGTCATAGTTTGATTCAATTTAAATATTTTGGCACTATTTGTACTTGTTTTCATATTTTGAAGACAATAATGTAACTGGAAAGAATGCATCCATGCAGGAAACACTTTGCAACTTATACTTTGTTGCATTGTTATAGTAAATCTAATCAGTCATTACATTTCATAATTGATGCACGTGACTTTTAATGTTTTTTTAAGACAGCGATGAATTTTATTATTTTTCTGTTAATGTAAACCAAAAGAACAGGACTACTGTTACCCAAAAGATCATTTAAACTTTTTCTCTCTCCACTGTTTAGTGTCTCGAAGAAGCAGCGAAGAGGCGAAGAGGGATATCAGTGCTCCTGATGGAGGCCCAGCTTCCTCTCTGATGGCCATGGGTTCTGCTGCACCTCCTCTCTCCCTGTCGTCTTCCTCTTCCCCCACAGCCTCTGTCAACCCCACAGCACGCAGCCGCCTTCGGTACGCACCTGCCCTACAACTCACTGTAACCCACACACATGCTGTATCATAAACATTTTTATTTGATTCTCATATAAATGTCACGGATATCAATGAACATATCCCTTGACCACTTATTCCATGATATGAATCTAAAATGCTGGAATGCGTCTTCAGAGTTGATAATAACACGGTTGCTAAAATAGCAATTTTTTTGGTTTGTTTTTCTGTGTAGAGAGGAGCGAAAAGACCCGCTGTCAGCTTTGGCTCGTGAATATGGTGGTTCTAAAAGAAATGCACTGCTGAGGTGGTGTCAGAAGAAATCCGAGGGTTATCAGGTTTGTATTATGACATGTAAAATAGAAGCAGAATATTATATTATATTATATTATTATTTTTTTATCTAATATTTATATTTAAAAACTTATATTAAAAATATATACTTAGATTTACTTATATACTTATATGTATATTATATTTAACTGTTAATGTATATTAATTTATATGATTAATCTATACTTTAAAAAGCACATTGCTAGATTACCATTAAGATTCGTTGAAGTTGTTGTGTCCGTCTCTGTCCTCATACTATATTGTAGCTGCTGTCAGTTTCATGTTGGATTTTTTGATAGCTTGGACTGTCTGGACTGAGTTTTATTCTCGCTGAATCTCAGATGTCATCTTTGTCCACAGAATAATAGCTGTAACGCTGGCCCATGTCACACCTGTTTATCCATCTTTTTTCCACTTGAAATGCTCTTTCCTACTTCTTGAACGAGGTCTGTCTCTTCTAGAAAAGCTTGTGTGGTTGTCATAGTCACTGTTTATCAAGATCCTCACCAGGAAGTCCGCTGGATTTCTCTGGCACTTTAAATGGCAATTGACGTAAAACAGAGTCGTCAGCAGCACTTCTGAGAACAAACTCATTGAATTTGCATCATTGGGGCATTTTTATTTAGAAAATGACTAAATTTTCCTTACACAACATAAAGTCTCCAATAAATATTTTATTGATTTGTGAATGGAAATTTTAGATTTTTTTTTCGTCATTTTTAAAATTACATCATCCTCAGTAGTTTTCTGATAAACAGCACCTATTATGCCCCTTTTTACAAGATGTAATATTGGTCTTGGGTGTCCCCAGAATGTGTCTGTGAAGTTTCAGCTCAAAATACCCCACAGATCATTTATTATAACAGCTGGAAAATATAATTTTTGGGGTGTGTCTAAAAAATGAGCTGTTTTGGCGTGCATCACTTTAAATGCAAATGAGCTGCATATTCCCACCCCGTCTCCATCCAGAAGAGGGCGTCACGTAAACATCTCTCTGCATTGCATACCTACTGCAATAAACAGCCGGTAAAAGCAACATGACTGAGAGCGAGAGAACCGGTGTTCAGCCATACATAAGGGATAGCCAAATGCACTGAAAGTGGGACGAAACAGATGTTACAGAGCTCGCGCCGCACTGACCTGTCATCGGCACGACTCAGTGGACCAAGCCGCGCGATCGTGCTACCGAACATTCAGCATGGCCGAACTAATCTCACAAGTGCGCGCTGATCAATTAAAATACTTCGATAACGTACGGACACAACTACGGTTACAACGCTAAGCACTATAACGACGTGACATTCACAGCGGAGTCTGGAGTGAAATTATTTGCGCAGACATAAACATTTGAGCGCTGTTGAGTGGATTCTTAAACACCGCTTATTGGACATAGTGTTCATGCGCTCAACAGATATGACTGTGATTGGCTACAATGATCATCGCTTCATGCTCTTCACCGAGCGCTCACACAGAAGCACACGGGAGCGTTTGAAATGTATTAGGGATCTGCTGATAGATGCGGTTTTCCTGTGAGCGCTCGGTGAAGAGCATGAAGCGATGATCATTGTAGCCAATCACAGTCGTATCTGTTGAGCGCATGAACACTATGTCCAATCAGCGGTGTTTAAGAATCCACTCAACAGCGCTCAAATGTTAGCGGGAAATGGACGTTTTTAAAATTGCAGTACCGACTGGTACCGAAGTCAGTACTTTTGACAACACTAGTCCAAACACCATGTAAAAGTGGATTTTGCATAATAGGCAGTGGCGGCTCGTGGGTTTTAAAATAGAGGAGGCACACTAATTGTATTGGTCTGGGATCCCTGCCGATTATTATTATTATAATTTGCCCCATTTTCACCTCAAAATTATGGGGAAGCTGTGCCTCCCCTGCCTCCCCCGACGAGCCGCCACTGATAATAGGTGCCCTTTAAGAATAATTTTAAAAGTAGAGTAAACATGAGTTTGTCCTCATGTTTTTGGTTGTTAACCACCAAGTCTTTACCCACATGTGAAACTATGAGCTGTGATCACAACTGATGGTTATCAAAGTGGAACGGAAGAGAAGTGGCTTGATGCTTTGTATTAAATTTAAGCATCAAAATAATGTGGAAACAAAAGAAGCTACTTTATTCCATTCAGCACTAACTACTCGTCCCTAAAGAAGGATGTCTGGGAGGCTGAAGTCTGACGTTCTGCCACACATTACGGTGAAAAGTAGAAGTCAAGAGTCAAGACATTGTGGACATTTGTAGAAATGGATCTGAAACATGCTATTTTGCTCTTAAGTGCACAAAATAGGTTGTGGGCGAAGCTATGAACAGGAAACCTGATTCATTTTACACCACAGGAAGATGAGTAAATTTTGCAAATTGGAGAAATGTTCCATTGAATGTACCACACTGAATTGCACACATTTCATGACTTAAACCTGGTGTGTCATCTTGAAACCCTTTCTAATCTGGTTTTAAATGTACTGAAGCTTTATTTTCATAATCCTACATTTTTAGTTTTTGGTAGAGTCCAGGAGGCTTATATGAACTCTGTCATGTCTGTTTGTTACACAGAATATCGACATTACCAACTTTAGTAGCAGCTGGAATGATGGACTGGCCTTCTGCGCTGTCCTTCACACATATCTGCCTGCTCATATTCCCTATCAAGAGCTCAACAGTCAAGACAAGGCAAGTACACTACTGATTTCTGCATCATGACCGTGCCATATAGCACTTATTCAGTGGCCCCAAAAAGTATTTGGACACTTGAATGTCATTGCATAAATAAAAAAAAATCAAACCAAGTGGCCAAAAGATTTTTCAAGCCTGAGAGAACAGATCTATGAGAGCTAATCTCATAACTATTTATTTCGATTTTCAGAGACGAAATTTCACCCTGGCCTTCCAAGCAGCAGAAAGTGTAGGAATCAAGTCCACTCTGGTAAGAGGTTTTGCATTAGCTTGATCACAACAGCTCATTCAGACCAGCTGATGCAGTAAGTCTGTAGTCTGCACACAAATAGGCATGTTCAGGAGCTCCCGTTTGCACTGGAGCAACGTGCACAAAGACCTAATGCAGATCCGAGGCACTCTATTAATCTTCAAGTTGGAATATTTCTGTCATCCACTCCCATCCTGTAAGCTGACAGCAGGTGAAAAGCTGGAAACACTTCATTATCAGCCAGCGGTGTTTACTTGTAGCGCACTGTATAGAATTATTTATTCTCTATTGTGAACTACTTAAACAATAAGTTTAGCATGCACATACTGAAAGCACCTCTGAAGCTCTTGAGGATTGAAGCAAGTCATACAAATAAATATAAAAAATCATTGGACATTTCCATGAGGAATATAAATTGTTCATGTTATATTTTGCCTAAAATTTGATATATAATCAGTGAGTTTTTATAGACATTTGTGTGATCGTAATACACTACAATTCTACTTTTTAAAAAAAAATCTCTTATGCTCACCAAGGCTGCACCTTTTTTTAATAAAAAATACAGCAAAAAGAGTAATATTGTAAAATATTACTGCAATTTAAAACAACTGTTTTCTATTGTAATATATTTTAAAAAATGATTTATATGATGGCAAAGCTAAAATTTCAGTTTTCAGTGTCACAATCTTTCTGAAATCTTTGTAATATGCTGATTTGCTGCTCAAGAAACATTTCCTTTTATTATCGGTGTTGAAATGTTGTCAGACTTTTTTTTAGGTCTTGAATGGAAAGCATTTGTTTGAAATCGAAATCAGCTTTTATTCAATTTCTGAATTCCATGCTGAATAAAAGTGTTCATTCATTCATTAAAAAAACAAAATCTTACTGCAAATTTGTGAATGGTAGTGTATTAAAATAACAGAATTTTTAGTTAATAAGTGATACTATGCAACACACTTACATCAAATGCACTTTAATATTCATTTACATTCTCTCTCTTTCTCTTTCAGGACATCAATGACATGGTCCATACAGAAAGACCGGACTGGCAGAGTGTTATGACTTACGTCACCTCTATCTACAAGTATTTTGAGACCTGAGCACATGTACTTTTATAGATTGTACAAATTTCCACCAACTAACCTGAGTGCAACTTCCCACCATATCATCTAAGCCTAATCCTAGCACAAAGTCATATTAAACCCATCACAAGGACACTTCACTTAGCATATGCTGATATGACATCGATACATCAAAGAAAAACCTCTACAGTGGAACCGAATCAGTTTGCCTTCAACTCACTGTCGCGTGACTCTAACACTACAGACTACATCTAGTTACTAATTTGTGGTGTGGATGATTGAAATCAGTCTTAAAGAACAGCGTGGACCCGCCTGCGACCCCGTGCCTTTTGCCACCCTGAGTGCTTACTTCCAGACATACGTTTGGAGCAAGTTCTTCACCTTAATTCACAGCCGTGGAACTTGTTTTAAAAGAACGAGATGTGTGGATTGCTCAAAGCAGTGCCTAATTGAAACACTTCATTGGAGTAGCACTTCAGTAGAGGAGAATTGTACACTAATAGGAGTTATTCACTATAGCACACAGTCAGTCACTTTTTTTTACAGGATTGTTTTGAAAGCCCATCGTGGGCACATTAATGTTACAACTGTGATGGATCTTGGCTTGAAATACTACATATTAAATAGGGAGGTCAGCAATAAGCTTATGTAACCCGTTGAGCCATTTCATATGACATTAGTGCTGCTCACCAACAGTATGATACTGTAGTAAACGCTATATTCAGATTAGCAGCACATGTGCATGTACTGTCCGGTGTATTAGTCTGAAATAGTATACCAAAAATGAAGTCTGTCACAATGTCTTTTTGTTTGCAAGCTAACTTTTTTATGTACTAATCAAATGTTATGTTCTTTCTCAGGATAAGAAAGTCTTATTGATATTTATCAAGATGAATAATCATATGCGATTTCATGCAGTGCTCTACCAATACAAAAATCATTTTACGTGCACTAATTCAAAATGTAAATGAAGCTACATTCCAGTGCATTAATATGGAAGAGTTTCAGTCTGAGTGAGAAAAATCACAGTTGTCACATATATCCTGTTTTCCAGCTGTGCTGAATTCAGGCATCGCTCTCTTTTCGTGAGTTTGAAAGACTTTGACGTTTCCCACCTGTCTGCAAATAACACTTTAAAGGTAATACAACACATGAAAATAAAAAACAGTAATGATAAAATAGGAATTTTTCATGAGTCCATTGAAAGAATGTGAGGTATGTCTCTTATTTTCTAAACCCTTTTGATTCCTTCAATAGGGTATGTAATATTTCCATTCCTCAGGAAGTATTTCACAGTGTTTGAAATCATTCCTATTCAAATTCCGGGGTTTGCAACTAAGCAGCCGTTTTTAGCTCTCGTACATCTGAAAGACAAATCTGCAGTTTCCCTGGTAAGCGTTTAAGATTTATTCTAAACTGCATTACTGAGCTACTTTACCTTTGCACCATGATCACATAATAATTAAAAGTAAGTGTCAGATTAATCTTTATATTTGTCCCAAATAAAGCCTGACCAAATGTTTTGTTCATAAGCCGCATATCAGCTTAATTTACTAAACCAGAGACATGTTGAGTTGGACCTGCCTTCTGTATATGTCTGTTTAATGTACTTCATCCAGCGTTCATCACATTAATATGAATGTAATACAGATCTGTTGCCTTTTAGATTGTTAATTTACACCAGTTTTCTGTTCTTGAATGCTGAACTTTCCTTTGCTGCCATTTGTTTAGGTTTTTATCATTGTGAGAGCATTATCTTAATAAAAAGGGTACAATTATTTCCTTTTTCTAAATAAATGTGAAGAGCAATCAATATGCTCTTCCTCCGAAATGAATCGGTCACCTGGTGTATAAATGTTTTTCTTTGCATTATCATATTTTAATTCTCGCATTTTAGTTCTGCAGCATAGGGAAATCTCTTTTTGGCTTTCACTTTTCAAAGATTGATTTAATTGGTCTATGAATCAGTGAACAACTTGGATTATATAGAAATAACAAAAATCAGGTTTTAATTAATTCCCAGCCCCTTTCCGGACTGGAAATTCAAGTAATGTAATGCATTGTGGTTACCCTCCCATTTGGCTGGAAGGCTTTTCTAATCTTTGTCCTAAACACATTTAACAGGTCATTTAAAACCGGCAAAAGGTCTGAGGCAAGGAGCTGGTGGGTGTTTATGAGTTTAGCTCTTGTTCTTTATTGTTGTGAAGGATGGGTGTTGTGCAGCATGATTAGTACATTTCTAAGATTAGATGTGATGTCAGTCATTACAGAGAGTAAAAAAAGTTGCATTTTGTCATGAATGAGACCAATTGGCCTGCTTTCCTTCATAGAGCCCTATTGTCTGTACCACGATTGATTTTTTTTTAAAGTCACACATGTGAATGGAACCCAGATTGACCTCAATATGTCTGGCTTAACTGTGGGACTTGCTCTCAAGTTGTCCTGAAGACAGGTCATGGACGGGAAAGAAAACAAAATTGCATTCTTACCTTCATTTGTCAATATGAAATTACCTGAGTGATGGATGAACAATTTAAAGCTTCAGAGAAACTGTTATAGACAGTACGTTTTCCATTTAAATTATTGGTAAATCTTAACAAAACTAATTAAATGGTCAATACAACATATCCAAAATTATTCAGGAAGCTAATTTGAATACTGTAGGCTACTTATACTAAATTCTGTCTTGTAAGTTTGCTTTCAGTTTAATCACAGAAGAGACCTAGCACTCGCAGCTCAGTTGTTTCCCTTATGCTTGATCACAGGAAGAAGCGGTATCAGTATCTTAACAGTCGTCCAGTGTGGAAATGCTGGCCTCCGGCTCTGGATTGGTCAGTCACTGGCTCTCAGGGGTCCTATAGTCTGTCAACTCTCGCTGCTGGTGTCGACTTTACCGAATCACACAGCTGACGCTGAACGCGCCGACGGAATCATTCACGAGTCATGAATCTCTGAGGACTCCCAAGTTTTTGTATTTCTTTTTCCGAGGGGTTGACTTTTCATCTTCATGGGATTCCCAGCTTATTTTGTTTTTCTTATTCAGTCATTCCAGGGGTTATCAACTCTGATGGTAAGTTGAAACCAACAACTAATAAGAATGTTTAGATAGAGCCAGCGGGGTTTCGATTGAATTGAATTTGTTTTATTATATTTCAATTAAACAATTTGTGCACCGCTTAAGTGCATTTTTAATATTGAAGCGAATCATTTAGGTTACTTTGTTTTTAAGAGTTAAAACGCACGTTGTGCCCAGTTTTACAAGCATCAAAATATTTTAGAACGACCCCAATTGTAGACGTGTGATTTAAAAACGGCCTTTAAAAATGACAATTAATATATAGTACTATTGAATTATATATGCCTATTGTATATTAAATGTAGGCTACGTTTTAAGCGCAAACTTGCAGTGCCATATAGTACTGCAGTGAAACTGCCCTGTATGGCAAGCTAATTTAGCATTTAAAACACTATTTTGTTATAGCCTATACATCTTTTTAAACCAGTATTTTTTTCTAGTAAGTAATAGCATATTTTAAAATTTCACCGCTAGTAACTATTCTTTAGATGCTAATACTTATTTCAGTAGTGACTAATATATTTATGCTTATTCATACATATCTCTACTTAATTTATTTCTAGTCACTAGTTACTTGAATCTATTCCAGTTTTACTATAACTTGTTAGACACTATTAGACAAGATATTTCTGTGTATGTATTCCAATTGTTAATAGTGTACTTTGTAAATGAACTACACATCACACTGTTTCCTGAAGTACACGGCAAAATCGCCCAAATGTTAACACTCGGCGTCAAACACCAGCAAGGTATCTATGTGTCCACCCTATGCAGTGTTATATTGTGCTTTTAAATGTGTTAACTTTGTGATGATTCAGCACTCTATATTGTTAAAAGTTAACCATCATTTAACTTTTTTTTTTTTTTTAGACATTGTATATTTCTGTATATCACTGATATCAACTGGTATAGATGCTAGATACTGTATTCTGGTCTGATAAATGGGTAGTAGTATGAAATAAGTACTAGTAAACCTGCAATAGATAATATTATTATTGGGATAGTTAACTGTTGAAATCTGAACAGCTCCCCAAATAATACAATGACAAAAATTGCAAACATTGCTTAACAATGGAATAGTTGGTAGTGACTAACATAAAAAAAAAGTAATGCATGATTACTAGTGAAATCAAAAACAATACTAGTCACTATTTGATAACTTATGCATATTTATAGATACTATTTAGTTTAATTAATGTTAAACCTTTTCCAAGCTTGCCATAGATGTGCAAGTCTTTATAAAGGATTTTCTGTGTAGATGTGTTTGAAGTGTTTTGACGGCTATTTTTTTGTAGATGCCTGTGTAGTTTTATGAATATTTCAGTGGTTCAGCCAAATGGAGCCTGTTTAATTTTTATTATGATTTTTTTTTTTTTTACTTCTGACATTCCTAAAGGGGTTTACAATTCTTGCTGATGCGGGAGAACTGGAGAGAAAATAAAGTGTAGATTTTTATATCTTAAGGGTTAGTGTTTTGAGTTTAGTTTTTATTTATATTGAAAAATTTTTTATATTAAATGTATTTTCTATATCTGTCTTGAGCCACATTGTGCCCTTAACTTCGTAACAGCAAATAAATCATAGAACGTAAGAATCAAAACAGATTTTCAACTGAAAAATTAAGCATTTTATTATCATTTTTCATTTTATGAGCCTATCAATCAGCCGAGGTAAAAGGAGAGTAAAACGGCTATAAAACCATCATTCACACACAGCTGAAGTACATCTGTTTGTTCTGAGCCGGCCCTGCTGTTTCATCTGCAGTGTTTGAATTGGTTTGCTATCAAACCGTGATATTTTGGGTTGATTTAGTTAGGGATGTCAGCAGTATGAGGAATGAGCCGGATTCTGAGCCAGATATAGTTTGAGACTGTGCTAAATGATGGATGAATGTATGATGTTTTCCATCATCCATCCACAAGGGTCCACTGTTGAGTCTGGTGTTGGCACAGGTCACAATCTGCCTAGTAGTTTAAACATTGTTTTCTTTGTAAACACAAAGCACTGAAACCAGAAGAGTACTTTGGGAAACTGATCAAAGGGTTCATCCAGTGTTGTGGAGACCCGTTTTTCTGTTGTCCCATTGTCATCCCCTAAACTCTCACAGATCCATATCAATGGCTGTGAGGCTGGGCATCAAGATTGACTAGTTTACTATGTTTTCTCACCTGTTTGCTACAATCATTTTTACCTCCCCCACTTTCAATTCTTATTTACGACAGTCACCTATTCACATTCTTTTCATTTTTGTTCTTTTTTGTTTATTTCTTTCTTGTTTTAAGAAATTAAACCGTGATTGAACACTTGTTAGGATGTCAGGAGACATTGTGTTGCAAATACTTTACTGCATGTTAAAGACCCCATGTGGTTTTTAGTCAATGTATATCATCAGCTTTGAGGTCATCTGTGTAATAATGTGCTCCTAAAAGTTCACAAACAGTAATGATAATAATAATAAATCAAATAAAAATCTTTCTCTTCCATAAAAAAACTAAACATTTATGACTTATCGTGTGCAGGGGTGCATCAGATTTTTTATGTTTTTTGTTTTTTTTTGCCAATAGAATTCACTCTAGAATGACATTATCCCTCCCCCATACTTCGTACCACCTGTAAATGTCTAACAATAGCAATATAAAATATATAAATTCTAATTAAAAAATGCCATTAATAATAATAATTAAAAGGTTTGTATTCTTTTGATTTGTAATGGGCAAATAAATGATTGAAAAAAGCAATAAATAAATAAAGTGGCAGAACAGCTGTTTTCTCATGTCTTCCAGAGGTGGATAACCTCGGCATCAGTGTGGGAACACTCCAGGGTAAATAGCTCAGACTCCCAGTTAAGGGCTTCTGAATGACTTCCAATAAACTGTAAAACAAAAGTAAAGAGCTTCTGGCCATCACTACGGGTGTGTCTGGTAAATGTAAAGTCTGAGATAAAGAATATCCACTTCAAGTTTCCTTTGTTTTCTCATGTTTTTCAAAGTATTAGCTTGCCATTTGTGTTTACAAGAAAGGGCTTTGCGTCAGGAAAAGCTCAACATTTTGTTATGTTACACGTTGTGCTTCTGTGCACTCTGTATTGTTTACTTAAAACCCCATATTGTTGTCAGTGTCAACAATAACTTAAAATGGTTGACTAATCTCTTTCTTTCCTCAGATCAAACATCAACCTTATTGTCATCAATCATGAAATGCTTTACGGTTAGAGCATGAAGCATTTCTCAATCATGTACACATAAAAAAAACAAGAATTTTCAAAGTTGTAAATAACAGAATCTTGGAATATGTTTTACAAGAAAATGCTTTTAATTCAATGTGTTACTTGCCATTTCTTTGTAATTAGTTATGAAATCAATTGTGTGTTAATTTTTTGACTGAAAATTGTTTCTACACCAAACTTTTTCCGTCTAAAATTCTAAAATGATTACTTAATCTGTTTTTATTCAGTCCATCTCTTCAGAGGCTTGCTTCCCAGAACCTTATTGTCATCAATCATGAAATGCTTTACGATTAGAGCATGAAGCATTTCTCAATCATGTACACAAAAAAAAAAAATGAATTTTCAAAGTTGTAAATAACAGAATCTTGGAATATGTTTTACAAGAAAATGCTTTTAATTTAATGTGTTACTTGCCATTTCTTTGTAATTAGTTATGAAATCAATTGTGTGTTAATTTTTTG